AAAACGTGTGATTAAAACTTTAACTGTTGTTTAAACTGAAATATGGAATCTAGACAGAAATGAACCCTGATATGGGGGGGGGGGGGTAAATGTTTAAGCTCTCACTTTTTCATCAGTTCCTATAAAAACTGATGAAGAGTGAATTAGATCCAAAGAGAGAAAGTTTTACTGTCAGGTTTTTATTTTCTAACAGTCAGAACAGGAAATGATGTAACAAAGAGACGGAGAGCCGTAAACATGTTGGTTTTTTCTAGATACATGATCGCCGTAAACATGACCTCCATGGATGACATCATCACAGGAATGACCACTGAGGTAAGTGTCCGGGTACCGACCACGGTACTTCCTGAGCTGGGGGGGTGGGGGTGTCCAGCAGGTGTATTCAGGTGTGTCCTCTGTCTCCTGGTAGGACCCCTTCAGTTCTTCAGCCACCACTGAGGATGATTATGACTATGGAATCGATGACAACCTGATGTGCGACCGCCAGTCGGTGCGGGACTTCCGGAGTCGCTACGAGCCGCCCTTCTTCTGGATCATCACCCTTGTGGGCGGAACCGGGAACCTGGCCGTGGTCTGGATCTACCTGAGCTTCCGTAAGCGGCTGAAGACCATGACCGACGTGTACCTGCTGAACCTGGCGGTGGCCGACCTCCTGTTCCTGGTCACGCTGCCACTGTGGGCCGCCGAAGCGTCTCACGGCTGGATCTTTGGCCCCGCCATGTGCAAGATAAACTCCGCCCTCTACAAGGTGAACCTGTTCAGCAGCATCATGCTCCTGACCTGTATCAGTGTGGATCGCTACATCGTCATTGTGCAGACCACCAAGGCCCAAAACTCTCAGATGGAGCGCCGCCGCTGCAGCCGGCTGGTGTGCGCCGGCGTTTGGCTGCTGGCGCTGCTCCTCGCCGTCCCTGAGCTGTCCTTCGCCGTCCCTGCCAACTCCTACTGCAGGATGGTTTACCCTTCCAACCTGGGAAACCGCACCAAAATCCTGGTTCTGTCGCTACAGGTGAGCATGGGTTTCTTCGTACCCTTCATGGTCATGGCCTTCTGCTACAGCGTCATCATCGCCAAGCTGCTCAAGACTCGTAACTTTGAGAAGCACAAAGCCATGCGAGTGATCCTGGCCGTAGTGGTGGTGTTCATCGTGTCCCAGCTGCCCTACAACAGCATGCTGGTGATGGAGGCCACGCAGGCTTCCAACATGACTGTGACGGACTGCGAGAAGGTCAAGGCCATAGACATGGCCGGCCAGGTGCTGAAGAGCATCGCCTACATGCACGCCTGCCTCAACCCCTTCCTCTACGTGTTTGTCGGGGTCCGCTTCCGCCGTGACATAAAGCGGCTGCTGCACTGCTGCCTGCCACAGTCCACCAAGACCCCCCTGGGGAAGACCAGGAGTCCTCTGAGCTCCACCAGGATCTCGGTGATGTCTGACAGCGATACCTCCCATGCCCTGTCATTGTAGAGAGGCGGCGATTCAACATCCTGTTTATGCTGCATCAGCCTGAATGTCGCAAGATGGGTGACGACAGGAAGAGCTGGCCGTTCTGCTCCAGCTTCAAGATGCATGCTGCTTAACTTCTGTCTCAGCTGTGACTCTGCAGTCTCAAGATCTTCAACATCTAGAACCACAATGACCCTTCAAAGCTGTCCGTTAAACCCTTAAACCGCTCAGGAGACTGGTCCGCCTATTTCTGATTGGGGGGAGCAGCATGTGGAGCCATGTCAGCTCCTGCTCCTCTCCAGGCGGGATCTTCCTTCCCTTTATGGTCGACCTGCTCCACCTGGAGAGGTCAGACTTTCTGTCCAAGCAGACCCCAAGTTTCATCTCCACATGCAGAACAACCAAGATCTCAGGACTGTTTCATGATGTCATGATGAACTTTATCAGGACTCTCCTGAACTGTGAAGCTTGTTTTCAAACAGAAGCTGGGACTTTAGGAGCTGCTGCTGCTGTGGTGACTGTCCTGTTCTGACCTATGAGGTCACATTGAGCCCAATGTCTGTTTTCTGTCTTATAAATGTGAGTTTTGTGTTTTTCTTTAATGATGTTTAAACCTGTCACCACTGCTAAGGTGTGCCGGCCGAGGCTGCCCAGGGCCCGGCTCTCTGCTGCTGTACAGAATCTGCTGTGAGTTCATTGACTGTACAGGTTTTTATCTTGGTTATTCACAATAAAACCAGTTGAACGTGTTTTCAGTTTGTGAGCCTGAAGATGAAAAGGAACCTTATGAAAGGCGGTCACATCCCCGCCCCCCCTACCGTTCTCATGCAGAACTCTGATCACAAACATCACATGTTTTATTGGAACATCTGAGCTCCGGCGTCATCTGCAGAAAGAGGAAGCCAAACTTTTGCAGAAGTGACACCTAAAGCTTTTTCTCCCTGAAACAGCCGACAACTGACACAACGTTAGTCCTACCAAAATAAAGGCTTTGTCTTGTTCCTGTTTACAAGTTCTGCTCATAGGAAACTGATAGATGACTGAGCAATCACCTGCAGACAGGAAGTGTCTGTGCAGCCGTGATTAACGCTGCAGTGAAACTTCCTGTCCAATGTCAAAACAACCTAAAAACTACGTCAGAGGAGAAATACTGGAGATCAACTGGAGAATTGAACTACTTCACATTATATACAAATACTTGAGAATAAAATCACTTCAAAAGGGAAAAAAGCTCAAATTAAAAAGAAATAGTTTACAAAATTTATAAATTAAAAACATCATAGGTGCTTTATAGTAATATAAAAAAAAAAAAGCATTCTATTCAGTGTATTTCTATAGCTCCAATTCACATCATGTCATCTCAGGTCACTTTC